CTGATAGTAATCCAACCTGTGGCACACCTTACAGGTGTCCTGATAGTCATCCAACCTGTGGCACACCTTACAGGTGTTCTGATAGTATTCCAACCTGTGGCACACCTTACAGGTGTCCTGATAGTCATCCAACCTGTGGCACACCTTACAGGTGTTCTGATAGTAATCCAACCTGTGGCACACCTTACAGGTGTCCTGATAGTCATCCAACCTGTGGCACACCTTACAGGTGTTCTGATAGTATTCCAACCTGTGGCACACCTTACAGGTGTCCTGATAGTCATCCAACCTGTGGCACACCTTACAGGTGTTCTGATAGTAATCCAACCTGTGGCACAACTTAAGGTGTCCTGATAGTAATCCAACCTGTTGCACATCTTATGAAGTAAAAAAAAAAACACATTAGTGTAACATAATTAATGGATAAAATATTGTCTGTTTGTAACTCTGGTCAATTTTTATATGATGATGTCTGTACTGTAGGGCAATGGATTTTAGAACATGGTTTGATGTCAAATGGGATAAGTATCAATTGATCTCTCCAGGAAACTGACAGTTTTATAGAACGTCTTAGTTAATGCCAGCCATATTCACACTTACACACAAATTTAGATGAGTGAGTAACTGAAAGAAACATGGTTGGCTCAAGTAGTAAACAATTCATTTATGAGTCGTAACATTTTTATAGGGAATATTTTTTCAAAGTTAATTATCATGTGTTTACAATTTGATACTGGTACTAAATCTTTATTGTTAGCGTGTGACCAAAAGTTGTCATTGTGTGACTGTCATTGTGTGACCAAAAGTTGTCATTGTGTGACCAAAAGTTGTCATTTTGTGACCAAAAGTTGTCATTGTGTGTGACCAAAAGTTGTCATTGTGTGTGACCAAAAGTTGTCATTGTGTGACCAAAAGTTGTCATTGTGTGTGACCAAAAGTAGTCATTGTGTGTGACCAAAAGTTGTCATTGTGTGTGACCAAAAGTAGTCATTGTGTGTGACCAAAAGTAGTCATTGTGTGTGACCAAAAGTTGTCATTGTGTGTGACCAAAAGTAGTCATTGTGTGTGACCAAAAGTTGTGATTGTGTGTGACCAAAAGTAGTCATTGTGTGTGACCAAAAGTAGTCATTGTGTGTGACCAAAAGTTGTCATTGTGTAACCAAAAGTTATCATTGTGCGACCAAAAGTAGTCATTGTGTGTGACCAAAAGTTGTCATTGTGTGTGACCAAAAGTTGTTATTGTTCGACCAAAAGTTATCATTGTGCGACCAAAAGTTGTCATTGTGTGTGACCAAAAGTTGTCATTGTGTGTGACCAAAAGTTGTCATTGTGTGACCAAAAGTTGTCATTTTTCCCAAAGCTGCTGAGAAGGAACCCTGACCGCCGCCTTGGTTCCAGTGAGAGGGACGCAGAAGATGTGAAAAAACAGGCTTTCTTCAGGGTAATGGGCCAGCACCATATCTGGGGCTTATTGATAGTCTGTTGTGTGTGGGTGCCGCAGTGCCATCAATAGGGGACAGGGCAAGATGGCAGGCTTTGTAGAAATTCAAGAAGTCCAGGCTTCATTTCTTGTGTCATTCACCCCAATTTGAAAAGCAAATCTTTGCCATCACCCATTTCCTATTGGCCGGCAGTGTGGCCCTGGTGTTTGTCAATGTCATCCATGCCATGTTAACCTTGATCTTATTTCTCCCCCTCCAACCCTTGCGCCACCGTTTCCTGTTACAGCTCATGAGAAGAAACCCCGACAAGCGTCTGGGTGCGAGTGAGCGTGACGCCGAAGACGTCAAACGCCAGACATTCTTCCGGGTAACTTTGGAACGGCCTGTGGGGTGCCGGGGCTGTATATCCCAGCCGCACCCACAAGCCTGTTGTGCTCAAGCCATTATGTTGCATTAGTGGCATGAGCTATGTATAACACATAGATTTGTAGGAATGCTTGCAGTGGAACTTTCTTATAACTTTTAATCATGAGGTCCAAACTGTATTCTTTTCTTTAAACTATTAAACATCCAAAACTAGTGCAGTATTTAGATTATGCAAGGGATGGATATTGAAAATGCCTGAAATCAGCATGATATCTACTGGGTATTTAGGAACGCAATATGGACAGTGTATTTAATGACATATTATGGACTGTTTAGTTAGTGAGATATTATGGACTGGGTATTAAGTGACATTATGTGGACATGGTATGTGGTAAAACAATTTGGTCTAGGTAGTTAGTGACAATATGTACTGGGTATTTAATGACACAATATGGACTGGGTATTTGGTGACACAATATGGACTGGGTATTTGGTGACACAATATGGACTGGGTATTTCATGACACAATATGGACTGGGTATTTGGTGACACAATTGTACTGGTTATTTAATGACATAATGTTGACTGGGTATTTGGTGACACAATTGTACTGGTTATTTAATGACATAATGTTGACTGGGTATTTAGTGGGTATTTAGTGACATAATATGGACTGTTTATTTAGTGACATAAAATGGACTGTTTATTTAGTGACATAATATGGACTGGGTATTAAGTGACATAATGTGGACATTGTATGTGGTAAAACAATTTGGTCTAGGTATTTAGTGACACAATATCTACTGGGTATTTGATAACATAATCAGTACTGGGTATTTAGTGACATAATATGGACTGATTATTTAGTGACATAATGTGGACTGGATATTTAGTAATACAGTATGGGTATTTAGTGACATACTATTTACTTGTTATTTAATAACATAACATGGACTAAGTATTTAGTGTCATACTATAGACTGGGTATTTAGTGACACAATATGGACTGGGTCTCTTGTGACCAAATATAGAAAGTCCACTTTCTAGTCCAGCAATGGTAATCAATACATGAATGTGGCATTCATTGGAAGCTACTAGTCTCTCTATAGTTGCCATGCATGTTTCTGTGTCCCAGATACACGGGGCCACTAAACTACTTTTCTTACTTATTATAATAAAAAAATATATATTTTTTTTTTAAAAACTATTCATTTATCTTTTTTATTAACTAATTCTCTTAGGACTTACCAAGAGATGCCTTTTGTTCAATCTGCAGTTCTTTAATTGATTTGGTTAGAGTTGTACTAAAAACTGCCACTAGACCATCTGATCCTATCAATATAGATGTTCAAAGTTGGCCAGATGTTGCCAGTAGAATTGCCTTGTTTTGTGTCTACTAGATGGAATGTTAGATTGCACCATGACAATATTTACATTTTTAGCCTAGGGTTCTAGTATAATTTCCAGCAGAACTTCTTGATATTCATTTCAACACATTTTTTTTTTTTAAAGATTCTTGCCATTTAATCCCTGTAAAACCATTTTTCCTTTCAACCCATTCTATCACACACAAAGCCCAAATATGTTTTAAAAACAACTTCTATCCACATGAATTTTTATAAGATTATAAATACTTACTCAATAACTTATGCAGGCATCTGTAGTACTATAGCTAGCGTCATTAACCAAGGAATTATGTCTAATTACATCTAAATTGCCATCCAAGTCATCATCTGAGTTCATTTTGAACAAAATTGCAATTGACCGGGGTAAAAAAAGAAAAAAATTAAATTTTAAGGAAAGTTATTCTTTAAACCAGCATTTACCATTCAAAGTTGGGATCTCTCCATTTATGAATGAATCAAACATTAGGATGGTGCACAACATTATGATGGTGCACAACATAGGATGGTGCACAACAAAAGGGAATTGATCAAATTTTCCTTGTTGCTATATCATATGGACACTGTTAGGCCTCGTCCGGATGATTGTAAAGTGTTACAACAATCTAAAATTTTTAAAAAATGTTCCAAATAAAAAACCATATGATTAAAGTTATAAACAAGTTCCCATTAAGATCAACTGAATAAAGTCGTAAAAGTTTCCATTCAAATCACTTAATCAGGCAACTCTAAAGTAAAATGCGGACCTTCCCCCCCCCCCCCTTCCCCAACCCCAGTTCCCCCCACCCCTAAAGTCGTAAAAGTTTCCCATCCAATCCCTTAATCCGGCCACCCCAAAGTAAAATGCGGGCCCTCCCCCCCCCCCCCCTTTCCCAACCTCAGTTCACCCCAGCCCTCCCAATGACACAGTTAACAATTTATTATCTGCTGCATGACTTTGTCTTCTTATTGTCTGGGTTTACTTGGACATTAATTTGTTTCTTTTCAACTATCTTTTTTTTTTGTTTTTTTGTTTGTTACATCATCTAGCAGTTTGCTGCATTCATTTGTTATTAATTCAGTTTAGTTGTGTTATGAAACACATTTTTTGTCATTGATAAAAAATGTGTCAGGGGTTCTGTACCATTTTTTAAAAAAAAATGTGTGTAGAGAAAAGGGAAGGAATGGGAACTCTTTGCTTTTCTGCTGTCTCTTACATAATTCTATAGCAGTTTGAACAAAATTCTGTATTTGTAGCTTTGATGTAACCTAGAGTTTCACTGTAGATTCATAGAAGCATCATATGTTAGAGGATATGGATTATAGGACTTAAGATAATATTGTCTGCGTATTTACTTGTTAATTGACCCTCTTGAGACAGAGCCTTTTTTGGACTGTCTGTGCCAAGAAAATGGAGCCCTTTTTACCAGCACTGCATTTTCATAGCAAAAAATGATATTAATTTAAAACAAACTAATTACTTGACAAATGTAAAACCATCTTATATTCTTGTAGGGAAGTGAATGAGCTAAAATGATCTTGGTGAATCAAACGGAGATCTCAACATTCATGCAAAGGAGAAAGCCTGGTTGGCAGAACTTTTTCATGCCATTTATTTTAACACTTGGATAAACATGCCTTTCTTGCAGAATTTTGTTGAATTTTCTGATGATTGGAGCCTAAATAACTCCTAACAAAAATTTGAATGAGTGCTAATGGGAAAAACTGAATAAAATATTCCATTCGGGCTACTTAAGCCTTTCGAGGTCAAATTTTTAAAGCATTTCATAGGCGTCATTAGGAGCCACAGAAAATTGCTTCAGAATAAACATAACGCCTTGATCTATGGAAGCCACCATCAACATGGCCAGGTGAACAAGAAATGTGAGAAGCAATCTGATTAGCTGGTACAAAGACCAGCCAGCCAAACTTGAGGCTTGTATTATTGGGCAGATTGGTCAGCCATCCATATTTTTTTGCCTTTCGACTCTGGGCTGAAAGATCTGTCAGGCTGTCTCAAGGGGGTCAAGAGGCTTTCTGGCTATTGCTCCACTGTTATTTATTTTGTGTGTGTTGAGTAAGTTGAATGAGCTTCTGTGGGTTCTCACCAGCAGACATAGATCATTAGCATGCACAACACCCATCTAGATAACTTTGAAATGTCAGTCTCTCTTTTAAAATACAATGGAGTAATGTCGTCTATGTCCTAGGTTGAAATAGAAATAGAGTATGCTAAAACTTGTAGATTATTGTTATCGGTTTTGACCTTGTTATATTTTCATTATGCCCTATACAGAATGTCGTCTGGAATGATCTGTTAACCAAAAAAGTCAAACCACCCTTTACTCCAACCATTGTAAGTATTACTTTCATATTCAAAACACCCTTTACACCAACTATTGTAAGTATTACTTTCATATTAAAACTATCATTAACACCAATCATTGTATTACTTTCAATCCATCACCCTTTACACCAACCATTGAACATATTACTTTCATATTCAAACCACCCTTTACACCAACCATTGTAAGTATTACTTTCATATTCAAAACACCCTTTACACCAACTATTGTAAGTATTACTTTCATATTAAAACGATCCTTATACACCAACCATTATAAGCATTTCTTTCATACAAATTCTCTTTACAAGATTTCATGTTTACAAGTATGTTTTAATAATTTTAGTTTGACTTATTATTAGTAACTGAGTGACAGTGCACCAAAAGTAGAACACAAATGAGAAATATTGAATGTCTTTTTTCAGTAGGTTGGGGGGGTGGGGGTTGTTGTGTGTGTGTTTAGGTGATTAATTAATGCACTCATTTCATCATTATCTCTTTATTCCATCGTGCTTATCCTGATATATCTCTATTTCATCTATCTTATCCTCATATCTCTTTATGTTCGTTAGAAAAACATGGAGGATGTGAGTAATTTTGATGAAGAGTTCACATCGGAGCGAGCTGTATTAACACCTCCAAAGGACAGGCGAGCTCTGAACTCTGCTGACCAGCGCCTCTTCCGGGACTTTGACTATGTGGCTGGGTGGTGCTGAGATTTGCTGGCCAACCTGTGTCCAGAATGTAAAAAATATTCTCAATGGATGAAATCTTTGTTGGAGTGTTCACAATGTAAGGCGTGTTCTCACTGGATGAAAACATTACCCAAGGAGTGCCCTCTAGGACGTCTGGATTTTCACCATTGTATTTTCTAAACGAATGTTTCAACTCTGTTCAAATTAGGTGTTTATGTTTAACAAATTGTCACCTTGCTTTTATGTCACATTTCATTCCTGTCATATGGGCCATACGTCACAGGTCAAAACATGATTTGAGTCTTAACATGAAATATTTTTAGTTTACAAACTGCTATGTCCGTCATGTGAAATTTTCCAATTTTGTATATACCAATTGTAATAATGCCAAAAAATAATAATTGTACCTTGTATATGTCCTCATTCAAGGAATGTCTGGCAATATATTGACAAGTTTTTATAAAACTATTCAAAAGTATATTTTGTGGTGAGAAACACTCTGGAGAAAACTGTCCAATAATTATTGGTTATAAATGACTGTTAAATAAAATAAAAATAGGCCAAAGTTATTTTGGTAGTATTTTAGAGCAAAATTTGGACAGGGGTCACTTGTTGATATGTTCACTATTTTATTCTGTTGTCTGGCTTGTAAATGGAACTTAAGCCTTTGACCAAGGGGGAGTAATTGTTGGGTACAGCTGACTTTCTTTCTTTTTTTTTTTAAAGCGGGCACGACTGAAGTTATTGTTTGGTACAACTGATGTAAGCCAGCACAGCTCTGCCCAGTCTATGGTCTTTCCAGTCTATGATCTGCCAAGTCTATGGTCTTTCCAGTCTATGGTCTGCCCAGTCTATGGTCTGCCCAGTCTATGGTCTTTCCAGTCTATGGTCTGCCCAGTCTATGGTCTGCCCAGTCTATGGTCTGCCCAATCTATGGTCTGCCCAGTCTATGGTCTGCCCAGTCTATGGTCTGCCAATTAAATGTAGATTTTGAAAACTGTTCATTAATGTAATACAAAAACCATTGTTACTGTTATATTGAGTTGAAATGAAGCAAGTAATATTTTGTTATGCTCAGGAAGATTTTCATTGGGGTGGGGGGAGGGGGGGGGGGGGGGGGGGGGGGGGGGGGGGGGGGGGGGGGGGGTTGGATTAACATGTAGCCAGGAATTGGAGCCTACTGTGCTAGTATAATATATGATAGAGTCCCTTGTGGCAGCTGTGATTATCCTATTAGACACTCTCAAGAATCTGCCTGTGTCAATAACCATTTCATCCACCTGGCGATCCATTAAGTCAAACTACAGCTCCCTTATTGTGTATGCCAGTAGCAGACCTGTTGACCTCTGGGTGAGCGACCTGTTGACCCCTGGGTGAGCAACCTGTTGACCCCTGGGTGAGCGACCTGTTGACCCCTGGGTGAGCGTCAGACTAGTTTTCAGCTCTCAAAATCTCCCTAGAGTCGTTTGGTCAATGAGCAGGGTAGATAGGGGTGTCTTTACAATCAAAATACAAGTTATGTCAGAAGACCCACTCAGCTGCTCATATTAGTTAACATTAAGAAATATACGATTACGTTTAGTTGAAGGATGTCGTTTTTATTTGATTACTTACGGTCTTAACTCAAAAAGCGCGGTAACTTTATGTTGAAAAAACCCCAATCATGTATTTTTTTATTACAAATAAACCAAACGAATGAAAAACTACAGAAACCGTAGTTTTTTTAGGCTTGCCGTAGCCTTAGACTTCCATACGTAGTTATGGCGAAAGCTTAGGGGTAAACAGGTCTAAAATAGAGAGGCAATTTAATTATGTGCCTAAGTTCTACATTTCAGCCAAAATTTGCTGGCAGCCCAAAAGATATATCAACTTTCCGTTAGGTTATAATGAAATGGTGTATTTCTTTATTGTGTATTTTTTTTACTAGATAATTTCTGTTTTTGTAAGTTACATTCTTTTGGCCTCTCTAGAAAACAGGCTGACCACAGCTGGTCTTGAAAGACTGGAGTTATAGAGACATGCAGAAAGATTTGCTCAAAAACTTTGATGTATCTGGCCAATGTTCACCTGCTCATCTCATGCTTCATCTGCGCACTCACCAAATCTATGATATTGTCACTTGTATAAAGACCTGCAATAACAAACGTTTCATTAAAAACTGCTTAACATGGCGGAGCCTCTGGGTATCAACAGCATTATTGCCAACCCCCCCCCCCCC